GGGCCGGGCGAGGACATGGTAGTCTTGGTTCAACACATGGGACCTGTGTGCCCACGATAACCCTCTCCATTCTGGAGCCTCTGTGCCCATCAGGATCATGGGACTAGGCACTTAAGCAAACCATGAGGACTAGGATGATGTGGCAAAGCAGGGGCTTGGTTAGACATGGACATTACCCACCCCATCACTTTAAATGCTCCCAGCGGGCGGAAAAGAAAAGGTGGTCAGCTCCGGGCCTCCCAGACCACACCCAAGTGCAGACAGTGGCGTGAGAGCACAACTCCTAGCTTTGCTTGCTGGTGCTTCCGCCTGGGCTCATGCCAGCCCTCCCACAGGGCCCCCGCCCTACCATACCTTAACTAAATTGCCAACCAAAGCTGGGTACTTCAGGCCATGCTCCTGGGAAGCAGCTGTGATTCGATTGATCCAGAGCTGAAATAAGAAAGCACAGAGGCATGGAGGATCGAGTTCAGTAGGTCCATGACTCGCTGCTATCTCCTCCATCGAGACTCCTAGTCATGACCCCCTGTGGGTTCCCGAAACACTAACTGTGTAGGGGGGTGGAGGGCAGGCATCTTGCTCCCTCAGAGCTGCTGGCAGTCTCCAACTGCCGCCCAGGCAGATCACAGCCCCACTCGTAACCACATCACCAAGGCACCTGTGGGCGTCTCTTCCAGTCACCGTCAACATGGCCTACACACTTGGGCCTGTGTGAGGCTAGTGGGTAGCCAAGGAAAGGTCTGGAAGGTGGTGGCTCCAGAGCACGTTGATGGATTAGAAATGAACAATGGGAAAGAGCATCTTACCATACTACGTAGCACCTGGGGTAGCTCCACAGAGCTTCCTGGACATCACAAGCTGCCCTCCCCCCATGTCCTGGGACCGTCTCTTACATAGGGTGGTCAGTAGCAAAGTCTGTTATTTTTAACATTTTTTTATAGTGAATTAGGTGAGGATTTGTTAGATCATCTTTTTTTCCCCTTTGCCCATCTTTTGTTGGTTATTATTTCACCTCTCATCCAACTTAACACTTTATCTACCCTCTCGCTCGGGGCTCGGCAAACTTTTGAGACAGAAGAGCCCATCCTGTCCCTCATGACAATTTAAAAAGTATTCTAGATTCCACACGTGTGTTTACACAAATGAGATCACCATTATCTGAACGATAACCTTTCTTACCTTCACCTCATGTCCAGTGTACTTAAGGAGCCACCAAGGGCTGCTCCAGGGCCAGTGTGCTGATGTCCGCTCTAACCTATTGCTCCCCCTGATCCCCCTCCCACCCTATACATCTGTTTCTTTGGGTGTAAAAGCCTTTTCTTGATTTTTTTCTTTTTTTAAATAACAGGGATCTTACACAATATTTGTCCCTTTGGTGGTTGACTCCTTTCACTCAGCATCACGTGAAGCCCTCTCTTCAACTCGTCCTTACTCTGGCATCTGACATCAGTACTCTAGCCCCTCAGAGATG